CTTAGTTAACCCAGACAAAATGACTCCCAGAGATAAGGTTCTCTAAGTCAAGTCTATTAACCAACCCTTAGTTAACCCAGACAAAATGACTCCCAGAGATGAGGGATTCCCAGAACAACAAAGGCAGAATTTTGTCCTTACTTCTTACCTTTGTTTGATATATATATCAACTTGAGTGATACCGGGCCATTTTCCATTTTTTTTTTTGTTTGTTTGTTTTGATTTTTTTTGGTTTTGTTTTGCCACAGTTCAACCTCTCTCTGCAGCAACAGCTGCCTTCTTTGGGATTTCAGGAGCCCTGAGGAGAGTGAAATCTAAGTACCAGGACCGTTAAAATCAACGGGAGCACGCTTCCCAGCCCACTTAGATCTCACCTTTCTTGGTGGTTGCTTGGATCCCAGACAAGTCCCCAAATTGTTATCAAGAAGACCCCAGACTCAGTTCCAAAGAGTGGTGTCTCAAAGACTTTTTATTAAAGAGGTTGAAGTGTGTCCTTTTGATTTTCATAAGAAGCTGGCACACCTCCTTTGAAGGGGAGAGTGTGCCGAGTACAGAAGCCAGAGCAAGCTTTATAGTTAGTACTTGCCTAATTCCTCCCTTTTGGATCAGGATTGGTCCTAATCCTTCTGGGTTACAATCTTACATGTGATCCCCACTCCTTAATATACATTATGTGTCTAGAACCTAATTACGCTTGTACAGTAGCAAAAGGCTGCTGACCTGGAGTTAATCCCGGCCTTTCGAACTGATTCAACTGGAGTCTCTGTTTGTGATTTCTTATAAGTGGTTTGCTGATTTCTATCTATCTACTTATGTGGAAACTTAACTTTTTTATTTCTCACAGTGATCATGCATAGAGCCAGGCCTCCCAAATCTACATATCTTGCTCACATATCGTTCTTGAATTCCAGTACCAAATGTACATCTCTTTGCTGGATATCTCTCACATCTATGTCTCATAGGCATCTCAAACTCAAACTGCCTCTCAGGTTTATAAAGTTAGTATGACTGTTTAGCAGAGGAGATCCCTAGCCACTCACCTCATTTCTGTTTCATTTTCCAGGTCATTAAATGCAAAGCTGCTGTTCTTTGGGAGATCAACAAACCCTTGCCCATTGCCCCGCCCAAGGCCAGTGAAGTTCGCATTAAGGTAAAAAAGAAAAAAACCCTCAAGTTACAGAATGATACTTATGTTCAACATTGGCTGCAGTTCCAACACTAAAGTTGATTTTTTTCCCCCTGGGAAAGAAAACAGATCATTTTCAAATTCTGAAACATTAGACCACTACCTGAGGGAAGGGAATGGATAATGATTAAGTCTGGGGGTTGAACAATGCCAAGAAATAAGCTGTATAGTCTTTGTACTTAGATGGGATGGGAGAATAGATCAGGAGTCTTTCCTCCCACACCCACCAGCCCAGAAACAGCCTGGTAAGAATCTCTGTGCTACTACAGAAGAGGCTAGTGATAAATAAGCTAAAGGTCAAAAGCTGGAAGGTACCTCAGAGGCCATCTAGAACATTCAGAAAAGGAAATTGAGGCCCAGGAAGGTTGGATAATTTGTCCAAAGTAACAGGGAAGGTAAAGTAAGCATCAGAAGCAGGATTTGAACCCAGGTCTTCTGATTTCAGAGTCAATGATCTTTCCATTCTATCACACTGCCTATTGTAGGGTAAAACAGACAGTAGCCAACAAGGCAGAAGAACTGGGCTCAAGCCACTTACAAGCTATGTGAATTTTAACAAGTCACTTCTGAGAGTCCTCATCTCATCTGTGAGGTCAAGTAAAGGACACATTCACTGTCTCCCTCACAGAGTTAATGCAAAAATAAATATTCCTTAATATGTAAATATATTTTGCATGACTGCTCATGTGTAACCGATACCAAATTGTTTGCCTTCTCAATGAGCGGAGGGGTAGAGAGGGAGACAGTTTGAAACTCAAAAAAAATTTTTAATGAATGTTAAAAATTGTTTTTACATGTAATTGAAAACAAAATTTTTAATTTAATTTTTAAAAATTCCCCCCCCCCCAAAAAAATAAACATTCTAAGGTACCAATCTGGCCATGACATGATTTTGTTTAAAAAATTGCAGTGGTTTTCTATTGCCTGTAGAATGAAATACAGCCTCAATAAGACTATCAAAGAGAACCTTATAGAGTCTGGCCTCGCCCTACTTTTCCAGATCCTACTCCTCACTTCTTTTTTCAGCCAAAGACAAGGTTTATTAGAACATCCATCATATTGGGCAGACTCTTAAGGAGTCTGAACATCAGTAAACTATTGGCTAGATTATAAGAATGTGACTAGTGGCTAGATTTTAAGAATCTAAGCACCTTAATGGAGACAAGATGGACCTTATATACAGAAAGATTGTGGGAGGGATCTAGGAGTGGCCAAGTAGTTTGGGGTGACTGGAGAAGGGGTCTAAGGAAGATCTGAATGGGAGTGGCCAGTAAGCTGGGGTGAACAGAACAGAACTCCTGGGACCTGTACAATGGAGCCTAGCTAGGATTAAGTGTGGGAAATGGCTGGGGACCATAGGGAGGGCTAGGCTAGGTTAAGGGAGCCACAGTGAAAGTCTAATTGATGGAATTATAGCCTCAGGCAAACACCAGAGATTTGGCCATGGGGGAAATCCAAGATTTTTCATTTTGGGGGTTTGGTTCCCATCTTCATCATTCCCCCCTCAAACAAATGAGACCCAAATTTTGGGGAGTAAAGGACAAAGGTCTTGGCTTCTGAAACTGCTTCCTGCTGGCAAGGGGTGTAGAATTGTCTCTGTCTCGAGGGGCTCCCAAAGAGGAGGTTGACTGGAACGAAGTACAGGCTGCATCCAGGAAACGATGAAGGGACGTTGACTGGTACCCATAGTTTGCTGCCAACTGTAGGTGAATGGCCAGTAGTCTGGAAGACACAAATCTGGCAGAAAAGACTGCAGGGCCCAGATATAACAAGATAAAACACCCTTAGCTCTTTTTGGATTCAGATAATTCAGTTTTCCAACCATGCAGTATCAAATCCACCTCATAGCCAGACTCAGGAATAGTCAGGTGGGTAACATTCCCTTTCAAAGGAACATAATGGGGAAACTGAGCCAGGAGAATCCCATCTTAGACTGAGGCTAAAATTGCCCTCTCAGCTTTTCTTGATGCTGACTTCCCACCAGCATCACATTCTCTCTGAGTAGCTTGTGGCATTTCTCTCATATGGCGGATTATTGATTTATCGATGGATTATTGTGATCCATAAAACAACTCAAAATAAAATCATAAGTTTTTTTTTTACCTCAAGCAGCAAGTTTCACTAATCACAACTTAGGAAAAACTTTTCCAGGATTTACATCTCAAATTTAAATTTGTCCTGGTATAAAAAGCCAATAGTTAGAGATTTCTATATACTTGCAAATTCTCAGCAAGCCGTACATAACTCAAACAAGCTTTTTGGCTAGTTTGCACATTAAAACAATAACCAACAACAGTTAAATTATTTTAGTGGTAACCAATTATGAAAATTTGCTTGACATCACTGATACAAAATGTTCACCAATTTGAAACTTGAAACAAACCCATTACCAATAAGGTGACTTCAGTTTTGTTAAATTCATTTCCAAATTACTTTACACAGACAATCAACATCTCATCATTAACAGTTAAAACTACAAATTTAAAAGAGCATGCTTACCCAAGTTCAGAGGCTAGCTTCATTATCTTGAGCAGGATGTGCTGAATGTGGGTAATGCTTCCATGCAAAGGTTGCCCTAGGGCCCAAGGCCATTGCCAGTGGGACTCGCTCTGTAGCTGCTTTCCCTCCCCTCTCCTTCCTTTCCCAAGTGGGAGAGGGTGAAATCTAAGGTGAGGGGTAAAGGGTGATACTCTCTTCTCCTATGAGAGGGGTTAACAGATACCCTCTTGACTCAAGGTAACAGAGTGACCAGAGTTGTAAAGAGGTGTTTCAAAACTCCTTGATGATCAACCATAAGGCCTCCAGAATCTGCCAAGATATTTTTAGCTGTTCTAACTTTTCCCTGTAACCTTTATGAAGGAGGATTCAGGAGTGTAGAGGGGAGTAAATAAGCCTCAGGGAACCAAAAAGCAACTGCACTTTTTCCCAATTCCTTAGCGCTCTGAGAACTCACAGAATTGGGCATACACTTCCAGATAGGATGTCTGTCCTTGTCCTTTATGCTGCAGAAGGTGTACCCAGGTCCTTGGTCTCGAACTGACCCAGTGGACCGAGAGCCTGAGAGCATCAGGCCGAGAGCAAGACAGCCTCATAACTGTCTGCCCAAAAAGGACCACCAAGCCTTGGTACTTGGAGAGTGACCCCATCTCCAGAGCAAGAAAGGAGATGGGGGTGTGGGGGGAGGCTTACATACCATCCAGTCTTGGCTACAGAAGAACTTGGGGTAGGCAGCTTCCCCATACAGGCCACCAAAATGTTGAGATCTAGAGGTTTAGAGGTGCTGGTACCCCAAATTCATAACATGTGGGTCTTGCCTGAAAGAATTCAACCCAAGGCTTCTTTCAGTCAAAGGCAAGGTTTATTAGAACATCCATCATATTGGGCAGACTCTTAAGGAGTGTGAACATTAGTAAACTATTGGCTAGATTATAAGAATATGAATAGTGGCTAGATTTTAAGAATCTAAGCCCACTCCTCACCTTCTTGAGGTCTCCATTCTAGCCACATGGGGTAGCTAGCTATTCTATGATCTCCTCCTCCATTTTCCTGCTTCTGTGGATTGTGTGTTACTGGAAAGCACTCCTTTTTGGACTTTGAACATCCCTCATTGAAGGACTTTTCCTTCATGGCCAAGCTTAGATGCCCCTGGCACCATGAATCTTTCCCAAATCTCTCCAACTGAAAGTTCTTATCAGATTTTCATTGACTGCTTTGTCTGAATCTCTCCTCATTCTTATTCCTGGATTATGTCATACTTATTTGTCTGTGGGTAGAGTATACCCCTAGCATTTCTAGTGATAATAATGGTCATAGGATTCTAGATTTCTAGATGGAAGGGAGCTTTGGGGGCATCTAGTCCAATCTAGTCATTTTATAGATGAGGAAATTGCAATGGCAAAAGTGAAAGGACTTGTCCAAGGAGCAGAGCCAAGTTTTGAACACTGGTCCTTTCATTCTGAATATAGTATATTCTTCCATAGCATCACTCAGTCATGATGATAGATAGCAATGATGACAACAATAATGCCGGATCATCACCATCATCTGTTATCATAATTTTCTTTGTTTTAACCGTTTTGTTTCATTTTTAATTTGTGAAATAAAGCAAGGACTTCCATAACAGTGCAATTTTTTTAAAAAAAAGATAATTACATATGAAACTGCAAATCTGTTATGTGCAATTTGCTATTCCTTTTGAATATATAATAAAGTTATCATGTAAATTTTTTCTTCCATCCCCTCCCCACCCTAGAGAAGGCTACCAATGGACATAATATGTGTGCATATATATGTAAAATTATTCTATGCATACTTATATTTATCAGTTCTTTCTCTGGAGTCAAATAGTGTCTTTCTTCATATGTCCTTTATAGTTAATTTGGATATTTATAGTAATCAAAATGACTTAGTCACTGAAAGTTGTGCTGTTATTGTATACAGTAACAAGTATTCAAGAGATGTGTGCATGACATGCATATATCCCAAGAAGCTCCTATAAACTCTCAAAGGTGTCATCATCCTCTTATTCTCTTGCAGATTGTGGCAACAGGAATCTGTCTCTCTGATGACCATGTGATAAGTGGGACATGGCATTACCCCATCCCAAAAATCCTGGGGCATGAGGCTGCAGGGATTGTGGAAAGTGTTGGAAAAAAGGTGACTCCTGTAAAACCAGGTGAAATACAAAGAACAGCGGAACATTAGAGTTTGTTTGTTTGTTTTTAAATTCTTACTTTCTGCTCAAGCTAGTAGACAGGGAAGATAATGTTGTTTATGGACAAAAATTCCAAATGGAAGACAGTCAAGGTAGTCAGGCAGCTTCCAGCTTCACAGTGAGGGCTGCATCATCCCCAACCACAAGCATATGCTCTGAATGAGAAAGAAATGACTGAATATTGATGGACATGGTTAAAGTTCTTTGAAGATGAAAGGTAAAAATAACTGCCAGTTACAATATATCTGCTTATTCACATTTTAATTGAATAACCAATCACTGTCCTTGATAGTGGAGAACAGAGAAAAAAATGACAGATAATGAAACTCTACAGAAAAATCCATAATATAAATTTTAACCATGCTTCAAATTCTTACATTCTGAAATGTTTGATTTTTCTTTGGACTGGAGTCAGGAAGACCTAAGTTCAAATTCTGCCTCAGACATTTACTGACTGTGTGATCCTGGGCAAGTTACATAACCACTCTCCAACTCAGTTTCCTAATCTGTAAAACAGCAATAATAATAGCACCTACAGCACAGGGTTGTTGTGAGAATCCAATAATGTAATACATGTAAAGCACTTGAAGTGCTATATGAATATTAGCTATTAATTCAATTCAATAAATATTAAGTGCCTACTGTGTGTCAGACACTGTGCTAAGTGCTGGAGATACAAAAAGAGGCAAAACACAGTTTCTGCCCTGAAGGAGCTTACAACTACTGGGGGAGACAACACGTAAATGAATATATATAAAGCAAGCATCACATCAGTACCATTATTATCCCCATTTAAAAAATATTTCCATGACAAGGATGTTAGTGGGGAGCAGCTAGGTGGCACAGTGGATGTAACACCAGCCCTGGAGTCAGGAGGACTTGAGTTCAAATTTGGCCCTGACACTTACTAGCTGTGTGACCCTGGGCAAGTCACTTAACCCTGATTGCCTTACCAAAAAATAAATAAATAACAAAAACAAAAAAGAAAGAAGTAAAGATATCCAATAAAAGATAATATTGATATAATATTAATATAAGCATTAACACAGGGAGAAAAACTTTTTTCTTGCTTTTTCTTGCACTGAAAACGTTTCATTTCTCATGTGCCCCAAACCAACATGAAATACCACATCTGCCTAACATCTGGCAGAATTGTAGAGCCCTATCCATCCTAAGATCCATGTGCTAAAATTCACATGAGGAATTTTGTACTTCTCTGCTGGACCAGTTGCCCATGACAGATCAATCACAGAGACCAACACGATAGTGACCAACCAGTATCCATTTCCCATGAGTCTTACCTTGCAGACAATGCAATCAGTCAGTCAATCCCAGGATCAGAGACTTAGAGCTGGATGGGGCCTCAGAATCCTTTTAAGCCAACCAACTCCACAGATGAGAAAGATGAGGACCAGGGAAGTTAAGCAATGTGTCCAAGGTCCCACAAATAGTAAATATCTGAGGTAGAATTTGAACCTCTGACCCCAGAGCCAGTGCCCTTTCCACTGTATGCCTCTGATCAATCTAAAAACATTTATTAAGCAACTATTATGTACCAGGTACTATACTAGGGTTTGAGAATACAAAGACAAAGGCAAAATAATCCCTGTCCTCAAGGAGCTTATATGCACGGAACACAACATATACGAAAATACACAGAAGCAGAGAGATACTAGCAGCTTGGGAGATGTGGAAATGTTTCATGTCAAAGGTAGTGTGCTGCTACCCATAGATTCTGTCTTTCTTTATGTATATGAGGAGGCAGTAGAAAGAGTTCTAGATAGATATCAGAAGACCTAGGTTTAAATCATATTTTTGCAACTTTCTAGCTAGGAACTTCAAATAAATGACTCTACCTCACTAAGGCTCAATTTCCCCATTGCCCCATTGCCTTAGAGGGTTGGATAATGGATGCAGAAATTACATGCCTCAAAAAGTGAGGCATAGCGGCAGCTAGGTGGCGCAGTTGTTTAAGCTCCAGCCTTGGAGTCAGGAGGACCTCAGTTCTAATCCAGCCTCAGACCCATGACACTTAACTACCTGTGTGACCCTGAGCAAGTCATCTAACCCCAATTGCCTCACCAAAAAAGAAAAAAACAAAAAAACAAAAAAAAGATATAATTTGGTTTCCTATCACTGGGACCCAGTTTCCTCTTCTATAAAATGGGGCTTGGACAAGATGAACGTCAAATTCTAAAATCTTGTAATTCTAGAATTTTAACAATACTTTCTCTTCTCCCCATAGGTGACAAAGTCATCCCATTCTTTACTCCATGCTGCAGGGAATGCAAAATTTGTAAGCACCCAAATGGCAACCTTTGCTCTGAAAATGAGTAGGTTTCGACTATTACTATTTTCCCTTGGGGTAGCACTGGAATTGTATTTGTGTTAATGCCTATGTTTCATGGCTGTGTGTGTGTGTCTTTCCTTGATTAGCCTAAGTGCCACTAGAGGCACCTTGCCAGATGGTACAACCAGATTTACCTGCCAAGGGAAGCCTATTCATCATTTCCTTGGCACAAGCATGTTCACTGAGTACCACACAGTGGTCGATGAAATCTCCCTTGCAAAGATTGATTCATCCGCTCCTCTGGGAAAAGTTTGCCTGGTTGGCTGTGGATTTTCCACCAGTTATGGTTCTGCAGTAAAAGTTGCCAAGGTGAGAAAGAGGGTATGCTTCAATCTATTTCACTCAATAGATCAGCCTACAAGGTACAAGATGCGTAACCAAAGGATTGACACTTGGACCAGTAGCCAAAAAGGAAATATTTTCTTACAAGGAAACATGGTAGGCTAGTGCAAAGAGCATTGGATTTGGCAACTGACACCATAAGTTTGAATCCTGGCTCTGATACTTAAATTATATAAATTATGTAACTTTACGTAAGTCGTTCTTTGGGTCTAAATTTATCTATAAGAAAAAAAAAAGTAAAAATTGAACTAGATGGTCATAGAGCAAGGAGTCCAGATAAAAATCCTACCAAAGACATAGCTTTAACAAACTTTATTGTTCCTTCCAAGGTGAGATTGAAAAAGTCTACTAACAGGGACAGGCTCAATGTGGCCTCTCTGGGCAACCCACAGGGTGGTGTTTTATGCTACAGTTGAAGGCCCATAGCAATCCATTGCTTGAGATCCTGGGGGCAGGGGGAGTGAAAGGTAAGCTCTCTCAACCACTGAACTCTCATAACCTACATTTCCTAGGCATCTGGCCACCACCAGATTGAGTAGATTCCTACTTACCCCTCTTCAAAGCACTTTCCTCCACCCTGCCCCTCCATTCCCTTTCTTTCTCTAAAAAATTAATTTCTGGAGTGCAATGTTCATCCCCAACTTCTGACACCAGTTTGCAATACAGGAGATTTCAGATAAAGAACAGAGGAGAAAAATAAGAGGTGAAGACTAAGGAAGCAGGAAAATTAACCCTAACTCAATTCCAGCAATTCCAACCCAAAACTCGGCTCAATTCCAGCAAGAGTCTGAAAAGGATAGATGGGCAATCTCTGAATCTATTAGTTTCAGCATAGCTGCATCTCGTTCAGGCTGGGGTTCTACCCATAAAAGTTATTTTCCCCACGTGACAATTCACCACCTAATCCCAGCACCCCATTATCCAGATCAGAGTTCTACCACCTGAGGCATGGATAAGATGGATGGTGAAAGAATTAGTGGTCTGGCACAAGATTCACTGTAACCCACAGCAGACTCTGGTTAGAGCCAGACTGTGGTCTGCACTTTCATGCTGAGATTCAGAGTTTGGAAGGCACTGCAGACCCACTCAGCAAGTGCCTCTGGAGCCGAGTAACAGATCCATCTGTGGCTGAAATTAGCTCCCGTAGCTGCTGCTACTGCTGCTGTTACTTTAGCCAGGCCAGGAAAGCACCTAGTGTTGCTGGTTCTTGCACAAAGTACCTGGGAGAAAAAATACACACAAAAACAAAAGTCTCCACAAAATGCAGGACTGCCTTCCTGGTGCCATCTGGGACTGGTTCTTTTTACCATGTAGGTGTTGGCCAAGGTTGAAGACCAAGTACAAGAAAATCGAATAGGTCAATAGGAACAATGAGCCTGGAGTCAGAGCACCTCAATCTATTCTCATCCAATGTTAGATATTGCCTGTAAACATTGAAGACCATGAAGGACACCAATACAGGCCAGAGTCTAAGGTTCTCCTCCCCACCAGCCCACATGACTCCTTATAAGTCGTTACATCCTTTCCCATTAGCCTATAGGTGAAATGATCCATAATGCTCTATAGTCCCCTGTCCCACTATCTTGGCTGTGGCCTGTTTATCACCAGGCATTGGTTTCCACCAAATTTCTCTCTTCCCCTGACTCATCTGTTGCTGTTATTTAGTCATTAAGTCATGACTATATGGACCTTTGTTGGCAAGGTGATGTCTCTCCTTTTTAGTATGCTATCCAGATTTTCAATAGGAGCTTTCTAAGGAACAAGCATTTTATTTTCAATTTCATGCCTACAGTCACCATCTGCAGTGATCTTGGAGTCCCAAAAGATAAAATCTGACATTATATCTCCTTCTTCTCCCTCTATTTACCAGGAAGTGATGGGACCAGTTGCCAAGATCTTAGTTTTTTGGGGTTTTTTTTTTTTTTGGTTTTTTAATGTTAAGCTCCAAGCCAGCTTTTATACTCTCCTCTTTCACCCTCATCAAGAGGTTTCTTGATTTTTCTTCATCTTCTGCCATCAGAGTGGTATCATCTGCTGAACAGTGATTCCTTGATATAAAAAGAGCTTACAGAAGTTGCCCCTTTAGGTGACTCTGTCTATAGCAATGTACCAGCTGTGTGTCAGGTTCTAATCATAACACCAGGGAGGCCCAGCTATGGACTGACTGCCTCCTCTCTCAGGTTAGGGATTGCTTCTGCGGCAGACCACATCCTACCTGGAGTGACTGGGAAATCCCACCCCACCCCATATGTTTGTTTGATGGCAGCTAAAGCCATTCTAATAGTGCAATTTGTTGTCTCTGTGCTTCCCTCTGTATAGCCATTGTGTTGTTCAGGAGAGGGTCAGTGGATAAGTCCCCTGTGGCAATCCATTTACCTTCCACAATGGGGATAGTTCTGGCACCTCTATCTACAACCAAACCACCTAATACTCTAAAGAGTCCTCAGGCCTCTCTCAAATACTAGCCAGCTCCTTCTCACTATACATCCACACCCTTTCCTAAAGCCCGCCATTTTGTAACTGGATGGTGGTGGATACCAGGCAGATTCTGGGACTGGGGTTGGGGCTGGACAATCGGACCATTTTCACCAGTAAATAATGACCTCTTGGATCCTTTTCAGTTCTGGAGCCTATGACACTACTATCAACTGGGTTATCTTTTTAGACAGGATTGTGGATCAAAAGCTATGAAGAACCCTAGAAATGATCTAGTCCAGTTTTTCTATTTCACAGATGAAGCAACTGAGGCACCAGGAAATAAGTTACTTCTCAAAGGTCACAGAGGTAGTAAAGGCAGAGCTGAAATTTAAAATAACGTCTACAGATTGTACATTTGCACTTTTTTCTCTACAACACATAGCCTCCACCTCACTAAATGAGGAGATTGGACTAATTTGAGGGTCCACAACATTTTTGTGAAGAAAAGCTACTCTTTGCCCCAAAGCTTTGGTATAGTAATTATAATTGGTGTTGTCATCATTATTATGATTGGCATTTATATAGCACTTCAAGGTTTATCTTATTTCATTTGATCCTCACAACAGTTCTACGCAATTATTATCCTCCCCATTTCACAGATGAGAAAACTGAGGCTGAGAGAGGTTAAGTGACTTGCCTAGGTTCAAAGGGCTACCAAATAAGATAGTATTTGAACTCAGGTCTTCCTGATTTCAAGTTCCACATTCAATCCATTTCATCAGTGGAAAAAGATGAGGAGTACTGACAGTCAAGTACCAGAATGGAGTGAGGGAAGAGGAGAGGATCAGTATGGTACCCTTTTTGGATGAGAATTTGAGAAAGGGACAGTGGGAGCTAGTTAATGATTAAACTGGTCCTACAACCTGAGAACAATATTCTTCTTTCTTATCATCATAGATTATAACTAGGGGTATGCTGAAGCCAGCTTAAAATTTTCAGTGTGAGCATTTAGACCTCAAAAATTGACTTACAAATCAGTACTTGGTTTATTGTTTTATTGGCTTCTAGACTTAGGAAAGTGATGGGGAAAATATTAAGAAGGCAAATTAAACTTCAAAAGCATGTCCTGTGTCCTTCCCTTTCCCAGAAAGTCAGTTGCTAAACATTTACCAGAACACTCCTGCTTATAATATTTGAACTTCTGTGATTCTAAGTCACATTCACAAATATCTTTTCCTCAGTGGATTTGATAGAACATAGATACAGTGCTACTGCTTTTGAACTGACTATGTAGAATTCGAATTGGGGGGAATAAAAAAGTTAATAATATATGAGGATGAGCCTGTAACCAGCATTTTGTTGTCATATTTTCACTTCCAAATGACATGGCTAATTATGAATAGCTTTAGTGTGCCTCTTTGTGCAATAGAAGCATAGAAAACGACTGGTTACATAACACAGAATCAAGATTACAGTCATCATGTTTCAAGGCAGATGATTGCCAATTGTGAAATTGATAAAATTGCAACATGTTATATAATACATTATTAATGATTGATATAAGTGAAACAAAAAAAATAAGTAAGTCAAAAAGATCTCAAGCTGGTTGGTCGAATGGTGTGTTGTGAAATTCACATAGAAACAGATTCTCATGGTGACTGAGAAAACCACAAAGTAATGTTCTATTGTATCTCATTTTTATTTATTTTATTAAATATTTCCCAATTATATTTCAATTGGTTGGGGCAGAATTTCAAAGCTGCCTCTTGTCTAATGAGAAAATGCTCTGGAATCAGAAGTTCAAATATAATTGATGATGTAGCTTTGAGCAAGTCACCTCATCTCTCTGGGCCTCAATATCCCCATATGTAAAGCATGTAAGCAAATAGATGGCAAAATGGACAGAGTACTAACATAGACAGGAAGACAGACAGACAGACAGACAATTAGATAGATAGATAGATAAGTAGGTAGGTACGTAGGTAGTAGATAGGTAAGATAGGCAGAGAGGTAGAAAGGTATAGGTAGATAGAGATGTTATCTCAATAAAATCCTCACAACAACACTATGAATTAGGTGCTATTATTATCCTCATTTTGGAGATGAAGAAACTTAGACTGAAAAAGATTAAGTGACTTGCTCAGGGTCTCACAACTGGTAAGTGTCTAAGCCAGGATTTGAACTCAGGTTTTGCTCACTCCAAGTCAAGTGTTCTATCCACTACATCACCTAGTTGCCTAGGTCACTTATTTCTCCTTGGAAGTCCATCCTAACTAAGCTTGGAAATGTTTATCATCGGGTTGGCTGTAGGTTGATGAATTTTTCAGGCCCAGAAGGTCATGAAGACAATACAAAAAGGCTTGACAACATTGTTACTTGGCACCAGTATGGGAAATGACCCCTAATAATGAAATCATAGATCCTTGAAGTAAGCCATAAGACACGTTGATTTTGTGGGAGCATCACTGCAATTTTTTCACATTCCTTCAATGACATCTTCGGTCACTTCTCACAGTCTCTTACAATTCTCTGCTTCCTGCATAAAATAGCTAAAACCAAGTAACCCTGGAGTTGAGTAGCAGACACTTCCTTCCTGATTAAATTTTTTTGAGCTTTAAAATACCTTGGAGAAAGTGGAATTCAACCCTTTTGTTTTACACATGAAGAAAACAAGGCTCAGAGAGGTTAAATGATCTATTGAATCCTTGAGGCTTTTGTTGTTAGCTCTCTGTACAGCAAAAACTTACTAAATCATTCATGGGAATTTTAGATTGACTTAAGCATGACAAAGATTGTAGAAGTACACTACTCAGGGGTGAGTAAATCTAAGCTCTCATGTTCTCTGACCACACAGGTCACTCCTGGCTCTACATGTGTTGTCTTTGGCCTGGGAGGTGTTGGCTTGTCAGTGATCATGGGCTGCAAGTCAGCTGGAGCTTCCCGGATCATTGGGGTGAACATTAACAAGGACAAATTTGCAAAGGCCGAAGAGTTAGGTGCTACTGAGTGCATTGACCCTCAGAACTACAAGAAACCCATCCAAGATGTTCTGGTTGAAATGACCGAGGATGGTGTTGATTTTTCATTTGAAGTTATTGGCTGTCTGGATACAATGGTAAGTATTTCATAATACTCTGAGATTTCTCCACCCATGAACTAAGGCCAGGGCATTAGTGCAAACCCAAGGAACAAATGATAAAATCATCTGTGTCTTTTGGAGTTTGCCTGCTGAGTATACGGACAATACCTTAGTCCAAGCAATGTTTTTCATTTCTGACATTCTTTTTCAGTTATACCCAGGGCTGGGGAGTTGTAGTATTAGATTAATCTCATGAAGAATTAAGCTTCATAATTCTTCATTATGCACTGGAAAGAGTGCTGGTCTAGGAGACCCAAAGATTTGAAAGAATTGCACTCGCAAATGTAGTACAAAGATCTTTAGACTTAAAGTCAGGAAACCTGGGTTCAAATCTCAGCTCTGATGTTTACTAGCTGTGTCACCATGGGAAAGTTCTGTCTCTGAGGCTCAATGAGCTCATCTGTAAAATGGGAATAATGATACTTGTATGACCTATCATTTTGAGGAATGTTTTAAGTAAGCCTTCAAGTACTGTATAAATGTGAGGGGGGCAAGAAAGGAGAATGGATAGAGGTTGGCCTCAGAGTCATGTTGACACTGGTTCAAGTTTTGTCTCTGATAAATACTGAATATGAGATCCTGGGCAATTAACAACATCTTGGACCCCAGGTAATTTTCTAAGACTATGAAATGCAGAACAGTTACTGATGAATACTGGCACAAGAAGCTTATTTACCATGCAACTCCCCACCTGGCTACAATGGCAGATCTAGATTTTGTTTAAGCAAGATATGGCATTTATTATTATTATTAATATGCATTATTATTAATAAACACTATTAGTGATATCAATAACAATAGTAAAGCACAGTTTTCTTCGTTAATAACTGCAAACTTCTCCCAGAAACAAAACTCATCTTTTTTAATAAGAATATTTTACATGGATGGGGGTGATGGAAAACTGTTGAAAAATTAAACAAGTTTCCCCGAAAAGTCAATGGGAAAGCTCATAGTGGTCATGAGCAGACAGCAATATATCCTAAATAAAGAACTCTAAAGAAGAACTAAAGTAAAAGATATCATCAAGGAAGTATAGATGCAGGAAAAAATACTAGCTGGTCATGTGGGGAGACCATGGAATGACTATTGGAGAACCCAAGTATTACACTGGTATGTCCCGAGAGAGGGAGGAAAACCTGCAGAACATTGGCTTGAACTCTTGTTATGGGCTTGTGGGCAGACATGGATAAGGGTCACCCTCAGGATACAAGATAAACAGGGATTGGGGGTGGGGGCAGTGAGGATCAAAATCCACATCATTGAATGAAACACCCAAACCAGTGAGATCACAGATTCACTTGAGGACCTGATGACTCTCTCTTCCATAAGTTCTTCATCTCCTGAGAGCAGAGCAGGATCATCAGGAATCTTAAGTCATGATTAGAAATGCCCTCTTTCTCCTATAATAAGAGTAAACACTTTAAAATCGATAAAGGATTTTACACGAGGTGCCCAAAAGAGAGCACTGGGGAAGGCAGTTGGGGTGAGGAGCGCTTTTCTACCCTGTCTCTCTTTGGAGGAAGTGAGTAGAATTGACCACACTTGTGTCCACCCACTGGACAGAACAGGATGTGATCTTCCATTGAGGTCCCCACTTTCTATCTCACCTCAGGAAGTAAACCCCAAACAGTCCTACTATGAAGCAACCTATCTACTTGAAATTAATGAGATGGGCTCTTAAGAGCTTTAGTCTAGAGCAAAAGTACCAATTTCACTTGACTTCCTTTCTCTGAAAAATTTCTTTAAAGGCTCAAAAATGCAGAGCATACATAAAATTCGTAAAGTGCTCCAAGCCTCCTGCCAATCTGTTGATTGCTAAGCTGGAAGAATAGTTTCCTGGCAAGTTGAACTAGAGTTAGAATAACAGCTAGCATTTACATAATGTTTTAAGGTTTACAAGACTTTTTACAAATATTACCTCATTTTATCCTTGCAACAACCAAGAGAGGCAAGGGCTATTATTATCCCCATTTTACAAATGAAAAACCTGAGGCTGAGGAGAGTTAAGTGACTTGACCAGGGTCAGACACCTAGTCAGTATCTGATATTGGATTTTAACTCAAGTCTTCCCAATGCCAGGATGTAATTTAAATTATCTTATCCTTATCCTATAAACCATTGTTTAAAAAACGAATATAACCAGGATACAAAATTTTAAAGTCAAGAAACATTTAATAATGAATTATGCTACTCATTGCATGGGTCAATAAAACCGAAGTAAGAAACAGAATAGAATCAATTCACTGTTGTTCCAGGAGCTCCTCTGAGTACCCATAATTCAGTCATTCCTTGCTCGATTATCTTAATATGCCCGCCTTTGAGGCAGGGAAAATATATTCTATCAACTATGCTGCCTCTTACAGAGCTAGATAAAATACACACAGAATAGCATATTTGGGGTAGAAGAAAATTGTTCTTATATTGCTTGCAAGTGAACTGTACAGAATCTTGGTCAAGCAAGCAAGAAAGCAAGCATTTATTACACATTTCCTTTTTATTAGTTACTGTGATGGGCACTTGAAATACATTAACAAAAATTAAATAGTCTCAATCCTCAAAGAGACTATAGAATTTGGTCTTTAGAATCTTGGAGGATTTTAGAGTAAGAAGGCCGGGGCTTGAATCTCTCTTCTTATACAGGGGCAGCTAGGTAATGCAATGAGTTAAGTACTGGACACAAGTCAGGAGAACTGACTTCAAATCCTTTCTCAGAAACTCACTCAGCTGTGTGACCCTGGGCAAATCACTTAACCTCTCTCAGCCTCAGTTGCTTCATCTGTAAAGTGGGGATAGTAATAGCATGTACTCCACAGAGATATTGTGCCGATCCAATTATATATAGCATTATATAACATAATTATATTATTGCCAATAGCAACAATAATAATAATAACCAGTTGAGTAGCCATGGACAAACCCCTTAACTTCTCTGCATCGCAGTTTCCTTATTTATAAGATGGAGATTACTTGAATTACCTCTCTAAGAAGGTCATGAAAGGAAAGAAGTACTATGTTAGTGTGATGTGTTATTATAGGGGAGCAGCAGCCTAAAAGCCATTATGAGTTTCAGCCATTATTTGGAAAACATATTAATGAAAAGATAAGAAATCAAAGAAGTCAAATGGTACTAAGGTGACTTTAGATTTTCTTTTTTTGAAACCTTTTGAGGTTAGTGTGTATATAATGAAGCAACTTACAAAGTAGTTGGATAATTGTTTTGTAGCTCTTTATTACAATACTATGGATAATGACAATCATAGAATAGCTTTTGTTTTTCTCTTATTTATGACATATGTGTGTTTGTGTGTGTGTTTCATCCAAGAAAGCTGCCCTTCAAGTCAGCAAAAGGCTTATGGAGTTTGTGTCATTGTGGGTGCCCTCCTAGTGGCCAAAAACTTTCTTTCAATCCTATGATGCTTTTGACTGGACGCACCTGGAAAGGAGCTACTTTTGGAGGTATGTAGTTTGTCATGAGAAGAGAATGTCTGTTAAAAACTCAAGCAGGTGACTTTTCACAACAAGAAGTATGGTTTTTAAAATACTGCTAATAATTAGAGTTGTGGAGTTTTTCTTGTTTGTTTGTTTGTTTGTTTTTGTTTATTTTTTTCCTCTGGCTAGGTCAATCATTTCTAAGTGACTGAGATGTTGACATAATTATGGAGACTCACTGAGGTTCAAGTCAATTCAACAAACATTTATGAAGCACCTACTGTGTGCCAGTTACTGTTCTCAGGTTACATTTCAAACTGCCTTAATGAGTCAGCTAGTAAGTGCTTTTAAAGCACTTATGTGCCAGGCATTATATTAAATGCTAGTGCTATAAGGAAAGGGAAAAATGATACCTGTCCTAACCAAGAAAAATAAAGTTCACATTCTTAAAAGGGAGATAACATTGTCTTGATCTGAGTAGCTAAGTCTTTCACAGTTGATCTTTACAACATCACTGTTACTATGTACAATGTTCTCCTGGGTATGTTCATTTCACTTTGCATCAGTTCATATAAGACTTCACAGGTTTTTCTGAAACCATCCTGCCTGTCATTTCTTATAGCACAACAGTATTCCATCACAAATTATAAACCACAGCTTGTTGAGTCATTCCCCAATTGATGGGTATTCCATCAAGTTTCAATTCTTTGCCAACACAAAAAGAGCTGCTATAAATATTTTTGTAAAAATATGTCCCTTTCCTTTTTCTTTAATGTCTTTAGGATACAGCCCTAGTAGTGGTATTACTAGGTCAAAAGGTAAATACAATTTTATAGCTCTTGGACATAGTTCGAAATTGTTCTCTAGAATGGTTGGACCAGTCCGCAACTCTACCAGTAGTGCATTAGTGTACCAATTTTTCCACATCCCCTCCAGCATTTATCATTTTCCTTTTCTGTCATGTTAGCCAGTCTGATTGGTATGGATTGTTTTAATTTCCCTTTCTCTAATCAATTGTGATTAAGAACATTTTTGTCATGTAACTATTCATAGCTTTGATTTCTTCTGAAAACTGCCTATTCATATCCTTTGACCATCTCTCAATTGGGGAATGGCTCTTATTTTTATAGACTCACTTGCCTATATATTTCAGAAATAAGTCCTTCATATGTATAGAAATTTAAGGCCTCTTTCACTGCATTTTGTTTTCTGTGGACTTCCAAGGTCTCAGTGGCCATTTTTCTTCCATATGGAAAGCCTACACACAATAGGCTAGTGAGCTAGAAAAGAATCTTCAAGTAACTTCTCTCTATAGCACCCAGTCTGACAGATATATGCAGGCCCTTTCTCACTCCTCCATCTTTTTTATCTTAATTCCATTTCTGTCAGATTTGCAAGACACCAGGCAGCCACATTCTTATCAGCCATAATTACGTCTACTCTGTTCCTGATGAGGCATTTGAAATCACTACCTTTTAGGGAAGGGGTGGGGAACCTGTGGCCTTGAGGCCACATGTAGATATCTAGATCCTCAAGTGTGGCCCTTTGACTGAATCCAAACTAACTTTGATGTTGTTGGTCACTCATTTCAGTCTGGTCTGACTCTTTGTGATCCCGTTTGGCAAAGAAACTGGAGTGGTTTGCCATTTCCTTCTCCAGCTCATTAGACAGATGAGAACAGGGGTTAAGTGACTCACCCAGGGTCATACTGCTACTAACTGAATTCAGTCAGAGGGCCGCACTTGAGGATCTAGATATCTACATGTGGCCTCAAGGCCACAGGTTCCCTACTCCTGTTTAGGGTAGAGTCTCAAAATCCAAATTCCATTCTAAAGGGATAATCTTACTAGGAAGACATTCACTTTTCAGATCAAAGTTTCTCTGGTGTAGCCCTTGCCTTTAATGGGCAGCAGTCAGGAAAACCAAACCTCTGCCTTACGACCCTCAGTTTCTTATCTAAGACACTCTGTGAGGTGGATGCCTACTGTGTGCAACCCTCTCATAAGTAGACCTTGTGTTAGACATTCAGGCCAAAACACTCTACAGCTGTCTTCATTGCTTTAATCTAATAATCCATTTCCTGGCTTTGTGCATGTGCAATTTTTAGTATGTAAACTCCCCAAAAGAAACTGATTTTCTCTCAAAAAAAAAAAGTTCTATCACCTCGAGGGAGCTTGAAGGCATCAGTTCACCTTTGTTATGGAATGAAAATGAAAAACCAGTTTCACGAGCTCTAACTTTTACATCCTCGTGCTCATTGCTTATCTGAATGAAATAATGGTGTTCTGTTTGCATCTTTCAGGTTTTAAAAGCAAAGATAATGTCTCCAAGCTAGTCTCTGCTGTTATAGCCAAGAAATTTAAACTTGTATGCGTTAATAACATATGTTTCTACTTTTGATAAGATTAATGAAGGATTTGATATGCTGCACTCAGGAGAGAGGTAAGATTTTGATTTGTTATGTCCTTCCATTTTTCTGCTGAGAAATTTGGGAAGTAGCAGCCTCATGAATTGGCTTTTATTTTTATAGGGATAGCCCATTAGTCAAGGGATTCAGGCAGATGGTGCAAAGCCCTTCACCAAACTAACTTTGTTGTTGGGCAGTCATTTTCAGTCTTATCTGACTCTTTGTGACCCCATTTGGGGTTTTCTTGGCAAAGATACTAGACTGGTTTGTCATTTCTTTCCCAAGCTAATTTGACTGATGATGAAATTAAGGCAAAGAGGGTTAAGTGACTTACCCAGGGTCACACAACTAGGAAGTTTCTAAGGATGGATTTGAACTCAGGTCTTTCTGACTCCAGACCTCATGTTCTGTCCACTGTAACATCTAGCTGCTCCAAAAACTAATTGTCTTAACAAGATATTTTAGACTTTACAAAAGGAAATAATTGATAGCTAGATAACCTTCCTTACCCTCCTATATTAGAGCCCAACCATAGCTCTCTTCAGTAGTCAGGGCCTTTTAGTGTTCTTTAAAGGAAAAAAAGGACTCACAATCATGAGTTGTTTAGAAATTGCAAGTAAAATGAAATTGTGGTACAGTAGAAGGAGGCTTGGGAACCTCCACTGACTTTGGAGTAAGAATCACTTTGGATGCTGGGTTCAAATCCCAACCCAATTACTCTCTTTTTTGTTGACCTTGAGTCTTGAACTCCCTGGGCCTCAGTTTCCTCTTGTGTCCAATGAAGGGGATGGACTAGATAGCAGCTGAGGTCCCTTCCAACTCCAGTGCTATCCTTCTATGAAGCAGAATCAATCAATCACTGAGCATTTATTAAGCACGCACTATGTGACAGGCATTGCTCTAAGTGCTAGAGATGCCAAGAAAAACCAATGACAGTTCCTGCCTTCAAGGAGGTTACATTTCAATGAGGGAGAAAACATATATAAATTCAACATATTTAAAGGGCCAACTCATGATCGGTTACCAGAGTGAAGGAAGAGATGATGGGAGAGCATGTCAAAGGGATATCAGCTAGTCAGAAATATTTGTTAAGTACCTACTTTATGCCGGGCACTGACCTAAGGGGCTGGCACCAGCTGCTGACAAGACCAAGAAAAGCCTCCTGGAAGAGGAGAGACTTCAATTGAGTCTTGAATGAAGACAGAGATTCTAAAAGTTGGAGACTGGACAGGAGAATAGCCCAGATATCTGGAATAGCCATTGTAAAGGCATGGAGATGGGAGATTAGTGTCCTGTTCAAAGAATAGTCTGTCCATAAGTCTAGCTGTGACATGTAAAAAGTTTGAGAGACATAACTTCTGGGTAATTAATCAGTTTATTAATAATGCTAACATATTATTAATAAAAGGGGTCAGTGACACTCTTGAATGCCAGAGACCTTTCTAGGAACTCACTCAATGCTTATATGCTCTTGGAAAATTGGGTGGTCCTGAGGGTGGCAATTGATTCTAATTGGCTAGGAAGTAATGAGAGAGAATGAATATTATAATGAGAGGTAGACCTATTCTAATGAGAGACTAGAGGATATGACTTTGATCATTTCATTTACTTCCAAATCACCCCTAGCCTTGGGCAATTTAGTCAAAGAATTTATACACACACACACACACACACACACACACACACGCACACACACACCTGAGTAGAACACAATGGGCAGGAATTCACCTAGATGAGATAGTCTAGGTGGGGTAATTTTTGGCAGAGTTCAAGTCTTTCAGAGATTGGAATTCAAACAAGAAAATAGTACAGGGAAAGAGCTTAGATTTCCCCCATAATTGGTTATTAATGATCATTTCTCTCATAGCTCAAAACCCATGTGGAAAGTAGTTGAAGACAAGAAAGAGATAAAGGAGCCAGGTTTTGAAGAGACTTAAAAGGTCAAATGAAGAACTTTATATTTGAACCTGGAGAGAATAGGAAGAGGTTTATTGAGTAGGAGAGTTGCATGGTCAGACCTACAGTTTAAGAAAAATCACACTATATAGATGACAGAATGGAGTGCTGAGGTACTTCCTGCAGAGAGACCAGTTCAAAGGCTTTTGCAATCGTCCAGGGGAGACATGAAGAGGGTTTGAATCAGAGAGGTGGCTATGTAAATATAGAAAAGTAGATATGTGAAAGAGATGTTGTAAAGAGAGAAATTATAAGGTCTGATACGCATTAGATACATGCGGTAGTGAGAGAGAAGAATCAGGGCTGATGTATAGATCATAAACCTTGCTGGTGGGAAGGATGATGGCACCCTCCACAGTAAAAGAAAGCTAGGGGCAGCTAGGTGGTGTAGTGGATAGAGTACTTGCCCTGAAATCAGGAGGACCTGAATTCAAATCCAGCCTTTGACACTTACTAGCTGTGTGACCTAGGGCAAATCACTTCACCCAATTACCTCCAAAAAACAAAACACCAAAAACCAGTACAAGAAAGTGGAGAAGAAGTAACAACTTGAAAGGAAACAGAACTAGTTCTTGTTTGGACATGTTGAGTTTCAGATATCTGAAGGACAGCTTGTTCAGAGTGTCCAACAAGTAGTTAGTAACGGAGAACTGGATTTCAGGGGAGAGAACTAGATCTGGGAATAATTTGCATAGAAATCATAATTGAATCCATGTGAGTTGATGAAATCAACAAGTGAGAGAGTATGGAAGAAGAATTCTTAACCTATTTTGTGTCATGGCAGCCTGGTGAAGCTTCTGGATCCCTTCTCAGAATAATGCTTTCTAAATGAGTATTTAGGATTGCAAAGGAAACAACATATATTGAAATACAGTTACAAAATATTTGTTTTAAGTTCAGGAACCCCAGACTTCTTAAACTAAGGAGTAGTCAAGCAGGTAAAAAGAGCCAAGGGAAAGTAGAGTCACAAAAACCCAGAAAGGAAAGAAGATCTTGGAGTAGAAGGTGGTCAATGGTGTCAAATGCTATGGTGCAGGTGGGGGGAACCAAAGTTGAGGATCCTAAAGAAGCTATGAGGTTTAGCAATTTATACATCCTTGGTGACTTTGGAGAGAGCCATTTCAGCTGAATGGTGGAGCTGGAAGGCAGATTGGAAGAGGTTTAGAAGAGACAGAGAAGAAAGGAAGCACTGATTGGAACTAGTTTTTTCAAGGAGTTTATCACAGAAGGAGAAGTAAGAGAGAGGGTAGTAGCTGGCAGGCATGGAAGGAACTAGTGAGACAGTAAGGATTTTTCAGTAGAAATCTGGACATATTTTTATACAGCTTTATGTAAATGTGGGCATTATTGAAGACTAGAAAGATTTGGTATGATGATGGAGGCAAGTTTCTGGAGAAAATGGGAAGGGGATAAAGGTAATATATAGAGGGTTGGTCTTGGCAATCAGAAGGGCCATCTCATCATGAGAGATTGGAGTGAAGGAAGAGATAGTGGGAGATGATATCTAAGGGTGTCAATGAATCAGTCAGCCAATAAATAAGTACTGATTGAGTACCTACTATGTGTCAGGTACCAGACCAAATGCTAGGAATATAAAGAAAGGCAAATGACCATCTCCTTCCAAGAAACTTGGGGTTAAATAGGAGAGATACTATGTCAACAACTATGTACAAACAAACAGCAACTATGTACAAACAACCATGTACAAGATCAATTGGAGATAATCAGCAGAAGGAAGGCACTAAAATTAAGGAAGAGGGCCAGGAAAAGCTTCCTATACAAGGTGAGATTTTAGCTGGGACTTGAAGGAATCCATGGCAGCCAGGAGATAGAGATGAGGAGGGAGAGCTTTCCAGGCATGAGGGACAGCCAGTGAAAATGGCCCAATCGAGGGAGATGGAGTGGGCTTGTGCAAAGAAGCCAATGTCATTGGATCACAGAGTGTGTGGGAGGGATAATATGAGGTAGAAGAAGATTGGAAAGGTAAGTAATATGAGAAAGAGGAAAGAAGAGGAAAAACTCAGAACAGTCTCAATTTTTCTAGTGAAGTATGAAGAAAAAGAGGATGAGAAAAGGGAGGAAGTGGCAGGAGAGACTTGAGGAGAGACAGAAAGATTGTGTGTAAGATAGGGAGTCGATGAGACATGAGTAGTGGGATTGTTTTGCTATAGTGGGGGCCCATTTGAGATTAGCTAACATAATTTTTTTTTCCGCTAGGCAATGGGGGTTAAATGACTTCCCAGAGTCACACAGATAGTAAGTGTCAAGTGTCGGAAGCCGGATTTGAACTCAGATCCTCCTGATTCCAGGACTGGTGCTCTATCCACTGTGCCACTTAGCCATCCCTTAGCTAACATAATTTTGAGACAGAGCTAATCCGCATGGTTTCATGATTCCCTCCAGTTCCATTCAGCAACGTGTGAATAAGACCAAAGGAGATAAATGGCAGAAGTAATTCAGGATTATGGTTTATCAAGACATGATCGTCGATAGAATGAAAGGGAGAAAAAAAAGAGGATAGGATAGTATAGAACTGACATAGCTCACCAAGAGGTCAAGTTTGGGAAGGGAGAAGAGTGAAGTCAGAATAGAGGTGATATCCTGGGATAAAACTAAGGGATGGAGGAACTGGAAGTCATAGTAAGGACAAAGGTAAGGACATTAGGAGTAGCAAGAAATAGAAAGATAATTAAAAACTAGTTTGAATTATCCATGAAACCATGAAAGTGTTTAACCTTGATCTCAATACAAGATTGGTCAATTAATGTTGTGAACACCATTGGTGGTCTTTGTTCCATTCAATTCCATTCAATAAGCATTAACTAAGCACCTACTGTGTGCTAAGAACTGTGCTGGTCTGTTTGGAACTAGGTAGTGCAGGGCATAGAGTGCAGGGTCTGAAGTCAGAAAGACCCACCTTCCTGAGTTCAAATCTGGCCTCAGACACTTACTAGCTGTGGGACCCTGGGTGAGTCAGTTAGCCCTGTTTGCCTCAGTTCCTCATATATAAAATGAGCTGGAGAAGGAAATGGCAAACCACTCCAGTACTTTTGCCAAGCAAACCCTAAATGGGGTCACAAAGAGACATGACAGAAATGACTAAACAACCAAAAACACCTCCTATGTGCTAAAAACTATTCTGGTCAATTTAGGACTAAGTATTTTTTAATGGTAACTCTTTTCTCTAAGAACTTCATTTGCGGTATAGGTAATATTACCTTGGAATGTTTTTTGTTCCCAGTCTTTCAGGAAAGACTCAGAAAGTAATGCTTCCACAGATTTATTAGCTGTCCTAGGTGCTAGGTATGAAGATGAAATGACATAGTCCCTGTTCTTAAAGAATTTACAATCTAATGGTGGGGATGGGGCCAGTAGGGAAAGAGAGACTTAAGGTATACAAAATTAGGTGAGTGAAATGAGGCTCAGATATTTTAAGAGACTTACTCAGGGTGAAAATGTCAGTATTAACAAAACTGAGACTAGAACATAGGTCAACTGACAACCAGGTATATTTGATTAACATAGTAGAATGTCATATAACTAGAGCTGGGTGAGATAGAATATACATAGCAGCATGTCCGTAAGAGTCAAACATGAAGGTCAAAGTGGTGTTCACATACAATGGAACTTCCCTGTTACCCCATGGGAAAGGGGAGTTGTAAAGCTGGGCTCTTGTAATCTACAGGGTCTCCAAAGTCCAAAGTTATAAAAATTAATTTCATGGCATTTTACTGAAGGTCATATGGCAAAAATCCAAGGCAGCAGTGGAGGGAAATGGGATGGAATTATTAGACATAAGAAGGAAAATCTAGATGAAATTGTTGAAGGGCCTATTTAGAATTATAATCATGTGATAAGTTTTAAGATTCCAAGTCATCACTTCTGGGACTATCTTGCTTCAGCTTTGGTTTTAACTATGAATTCTCTCTAGAGGATATTGGAAATTCGAGCTATCTTTTGGCAGGAGTACTATAATTTTCAGATTTTGGGTTACTTTAGCTCTAGTAGATATTAAGACTAATGAATTCTGATATAGGAGACTGAATTCACAAGTAAGATGATTTGAAATAATATGATTGTTTAGCTAGTAGGTAAATGTGAACAAATATGTCCTTTTCTTATATTACACATAAGTATTTTTTTTCACCCAGTAATGTATGGATATGTAGTGATGCCTACAGTATAGGTAAATAAAGTCTAGGAAAAATAAAAATTTGCCTTCCTTACTGATCCTCCCCAGCCCCCTCCCTACCAACTAATTTGTCCTGTTCTTTGGAGGACTGATTTACTCTCTGATATTACTCATTGGAAGAAAAGAACAAAACCAATTCTGCCACACTAAGGGTTTCTACATATAATATCATTTGGGAAAAATCCCAGAGTACAATGGTGTATATTCCATGGTGGTACTTAATAAAGTCAAGTAAAATTCAATATATCACATGGAAATTTGAAAAATGAGTAACTTTTTTTTTGAGACATAGTAATTGCTTATACTAAAAGTATCCAATGATATTCACAATGGAGGATATTGGAAAGTGAAAGTGTATGAAATGTCAGTCTGAAATTAAGTACTCAATACATCCCCTTCCCAAGAGGCTCTTGGGATTAAATAAACCAGTTTTCTTTTCTACCTCCCACATTGACTCAAGAATTTCTATGAAGGAATTATTGGTATATAATAGCATGGCTTCTACCATAAGCTCCCTGTCATCTTGTTACTACATATACTACTCTCTGACCCTCATGCCTAGTAAGATGTCATGTACTCAGGCTCTTAATAAATAGTTTTCAATGGTGATTATGGGCATGAATAAAAAGAGGAATTAAATTAAATCTGATTTGATGGCAGAGAGACTGAGAATAGCAAGACAGAAAAAAATGGAACAGAGGTGTGATTTTGATCCTCCCACATCCTGCCCTGGGCCTGGTTTGTCCATGAATGATAAAGGGTGGGATTAGGAAAACTATGCAGACCAAGTTGGTATTTACCTACATGGAAGCCTAGTTGGTTACAGAACAGATTGCCTCTATTGTGAATTAATACCTTCATTTCTCATTTCAGCATTCGCACCGTTCTGAAAATGTGAGATCAATCATATAACCCCATCTGGAAGATTCTTTTTGGTCCATTTTGCCAGCATCCTTATTGTATCTCTAAGGAGTTACCAGGACATCAATAAAAGCTTTCAGTAATTCAATCACCAAGTTGACCAATGGAATTCTGCAGCTAAACAGATTAATGTTTAATACGAAAAGATTTTTAAGTCAATGTCTCAAATTCATGTTAGAGCAAAGGGAAATAAGAAAAGTTAATTAGGAGCTTGATAGAAGGTCATACTTTTCAGTCTGATCATTGTTAAGTATTAGACCTTGGACAACTGACGACCTTCAATGAAATGGCAGGGAGCCATCATCATCCATGCCCCTTCCTCATTGATGGGCCATTATGCTTGCCACTTTCTGCCTCTCAGCCTTCTCCCTTTTTCTCATCAGCAAATGTTTGGGGCTCTATTCAGAACATTTCAATACATAAAATAAAACTTGCTGAATGAAAATACATTCTTTTTTCCTTTGTGCCTCCTCTTTTACAAAAAAAAAAAGTTCATCCTTTTTAGCTGAACACAAGTTCCCATGCAACATGGGATACCTGAAAAGATAAAAATGACACAGATGGAATATTACTGGTAGTATATTCAAAGGGGTTTTACTATTGATAGACAAAAGTAAATTGTCTTATTAATTAAATATGAATGAAAAATGAGACATACTTGATGGTAATAGTTCAGTGAGCCACACAATATGAGATACCATATAAAGAAAGCAGTTTGGTATAATTCAATTCACTAAATAATTATTAAACACTTAGTATTTGTAAGATATTGCACTGGACACTGGGGATACAAAAAAAATGAAGAGTCCTTGCTATTCAAGGAGCTTACATTCTGCCAGGATGATCAAGATGTATAAGAATAGGTAAATACAAACAAATCTAAAATCAGTTTTTAAAAAATACTCATTAGGTGGGTGGGCTCAAGAAATCCTGCATATAGAAAGTGTCA